GATATGGGAGTGCAACGCGCTGCAGAGCGCCGCCCGTACCGCCTACGAGGCCCTGGAGGTCGGGGGGTCGAGTTAGGCAGCTCCCTCGGGAGTCGCCTGATCGCGTTGAGCGGCCGCGTCCACGAGCGTCTCCGGGGGGCGCTGCATATGGGCGTCAAGCGCGCCCTGGCCGTTGTCTCCTCGCACTACGCCGGCGTCGACCTCGAGGCCATCAGCGACGGTTACGTCGTGGCCGAGGATGACGAGATGGCCGAGGAGGAGGTCCTGAAGCTGGTGGAGGCGGCTGAGGCCCCTGGCATGGCGCTGGCCCGGCTGTTCGAAGAGGAGGTGGTTCCTCCTACGCCGACCGTCAACGCTGGCGACCCTGGGTTTTGATCTAGGCCAAAGGGGTTATGTAAATAGATTAGGACTTACATCATTGTACCATAACGCTTGTGGCCGTCGAGGCCTTTACAGTACTTGTGTATATATGTTTTTTAATCGTTTTCTATTATATTTCCGAGCCTCTGCCCTTTGTCTCGTTCTTGGACAAATGCAAAAAACTTCTTCGGAGCCAAAGCTGCCCTTCGGGCGAAAGGTGGTGAGGGAGTTGTTGTAGCCCAGAGGCATAGGCCGTTCTCACGGCTCGGCCGGCCTTTTGGCCCCGAGACAAACTTTTGGTCCTTAGGTTTTTTACGATCGTTTTTTAGAGTATGCGAGAGAGTTTGGCGTAGAATTTTTTTTCGAAAATGACTAAAAACGGTGTCTGGGACTTAGGGGGGTTCCCCCCTTCTAGCCCCCGAGGGAGGCTCGGTTCTGCAGAGGTAGAGCCGAGTTGGGTTTGAGTCCCACGGTGGGCGCCTCTGCAGAGGCAGAGCTGAGTCTCCCTTATAGCGTTATTGTAACGCCGAGCCCCTATCGATGGGCTCGGGGGGTTTCTCGAAAAATTATAACAACTAAAGAATGCTTCTTTATTGTATTTCAAGAAACAATGTATATAATGCTTGGGAATTTAAGGGTAGAAGCGACGTAGCTGTTCTATGTTCCAAGCGTTGGTGAGGATTTCGCCCTTCTCGTTGGCTAGCTTGTAGGTCCCGGGCTTTAGTACTTGGGCGACGATGTATGGCCCCTCCCATGGTGGGGTCAGCTTGTGGCGGCCCTTACTGCTCTGCCTCAGTCTCAGCACCAGGTCGCCCACCTTCAGGTCTAGGCTTTGAATGCACCGGGCTTGGTAGCGTCGTAGGGCTTGCTGGTACTTGGCCGAGTGTAGCAGCGCGACGTCTCGAGCTTCCTCCAGTTGGTCGAGGGTAGAACGTTGATGGCATCCTGGGGGCTCTGCATGAGCGGAAGCGTAGGCGGCGGCGGCATTGCTCAACCAGAAGGGGTACGGGGATGGTGTCGTCGTCGGGCTCCGCTCCGCCGGAGTTGGCTCCTCAGGAGGTGGTGGGGCAGAGCTTGATGACAGGGCGTTGCTGCGCGCCACCGACGTCTTTCCCTTGCCGAGGCTTAAGCTAGACAGGTCCCGAGCCAGGGACTCTGTGCCAACAGTCGGGTATGGGATACTGGCGGAGCACGGATCATCGCCCGGAACTTGCACGGTGTCGGGGTGGTTCCGCCCGCGTCACGCCTGGCGAGCGCGACGAGAGCGGCGGCCTGGGCGCCGCCTGCGCCTGGGCTACTGGTGCGTGATGTCGTCGTCGGTCGATGGGGCTCTGGGTGGGAGGAGTACCATGTCGTACTCATATCCTAGAGACATGAACTCTAGGCTCCCGAACCAGATCATCGTGCCGAGACGCAGTGGTCGCACGGGGTCTGCCATACGAAATCTATTGGAATGACTAAGCTGACACACAGTAGTTCCCCTATGTGGCGCGCCAACTGTCAGTGTTTTGGACCGGCGGGCCCTCAACCGACTAGTGAAAGTGTACTACGTGTCCCTAATCCTGGATGATGATGCAAAGAGGCACATGGTTTATACTGGTTCAGGCAACAGGTGCCCTACGTCCAGTCTGAGAGAGCGATCTTGTATTCCTTGCACTGAGGTGCTTGTAGTAGGGGCTTACAAGCTGGGCGAGAGAGGCAGCTAGCCTCAGGTCTCTGTGAATCGCAGTGTGGGTTGCTTGAGATGTTGATCTTCTGCAATGAAGGAGTGTGTGTGTTACAGAGTGTTGTGCGTCGCTTGTACGGGTGTCTCCTGCCTAGAAGCGGCCCTGGTCACTCCCTTTTATAGTCAAAGGGAGGCACAGGGGCGGTACATGTATTTGCAACGTGGCGTTCTTCGGTAGGGGTAGCATGTCCGAGCCCTGCAGCTTGTCACTGTGGCGACGCGGTCGGTGGAGCGGTCTTGTCCTCCATGCACTGGAGCGACGCGCCGGTCATGCCCGATCCTACAGGAGTTAGGACCTGTGCACGACGTGGGAACTCCTACAGCCTAACGTAGGGCATGGCGCGTACTATGGGCGACGTGCCGGTCCCAGAGCGCTGACAACTTAGAGAGCCGAGACCCAGTCGATGCAGAGGCTGGACCATCGTGGGGGGGCTCGGCGGGCGCAAGTCCCGAGGCTATAGGAGCCCGGAAGCGGGTAGCTGAGGCTCGGAGGGAGCAGTTGGCCTTGCACGTCGTTTCCGAGGCTACAGGGACCCGGACGTGACTTTGCACGCCACGTTGTCCTTGGAGCAGGGGTTAGGTAGCACAACGTAGCATGGGCGTCAGCCGTGGGCACAGTGCCGAGCACAGCGGCCGATAACCCCCGCCCTATCCTGTCCCGGATGATAGGGCGTTGATGTGACTTCTGTCTCGTCGGCCACTCCGCTGTACCGTGCCGTCGTGCGGCTGACGTTGTGGGAGTGGTTGAACGCTTTAGTTAGATGTGACGTCCCGTCAGAGAAGTCGGTCAAAGCGGCGGTGATGGGGTTGATGCCGAGCCGGACTCGAGCGAGTCGGTAACTGGGTGCTCGTTCGAGGCCTCGTAGCGCGGGGCCTCGGGCGAGTCGGAGAATCGGTGGCTTGTCCGAGGCCTCGTGGCGCGGGGCCTCGGACGAGTCGGAGAATCGGTGCCTCGTCCGAGGCCTCGTGGTACGGTCCTGGGCCAAGCCTGCTTCAGTCGTGCCGGGATGTTGTTCGAGGTGGGCCGGGCGATCCAGCCGGGCCTCGGATGAAATGGGGGTTTGCCTGCGGTTGTTTTTTGGCTTCGATATTTACAAGTCCTAAGCAATTTTTTCGGTCTTTGCTTAGGGTACCCGTTTTTATGGTATCCGACAGTATGCACATCAACCAAATTATTACGGGTATATTATTATAAGATAACTAACCACAATATCCAACTACATTTGCTAACTAAATTACCTAACTATCTACCCAAACAAATAAGTATCTAACTGCCTAACTATCTCTCTAACAATATAAGAGATTTGGTAACTACACTTACTAACTAGCTAACTAAATTAATAAGTAACTAACTCCCTAATTATGTCTCTAACAATCTAATCTAACTAAATAAGCTACATACATATATTCCTAAGTATATAATATAACTAAATAAATAAGCATCTAACTTTCTACCTATGTAATTAAATTTGCTAACTAAATTTGCTAAATATTCTTAAAAAATTACTAACTAAATTATCTAAAGTAGATTAACTAATTTAAGTTAACTAAAAAAATTACCTCGGATGGTATGGTGGCGCAGGCCTAGAGGGGGTGGCCTTGAGGGCCCAGAGGGGCGAGGGGGGCCTAGGGCGGGAGGAGGCCGGGTGGCGGGAGCTCCCATGAGCGGCGGTGGTGAGCACCTCCTCACCGGACGAACTGAAGGAGGAGGAAGGGCGACGAGGGGGCGGGATTCGCCTGACGACGACGGAGGTGAGGCGGACGACGGCTGTGATGGTGGAGCCCGTGGACGACGGCAATGATTCTTGTGGCGCAGGAGCCCAGAGGGGCAGAGGCGTAGGGTCAGACGGCGGGCGGTGGCGCCGCCGGTATGCAGGAGGCACGCGGGCGACAATGGCCAATGACATGGCCAGGCGGTGAGAGAAGCGAGAGACAGAGAGAGAGAGAGTTGCGGCCGCTGGTTTTGAATCCATGCTCGGCGTCAGAATATATGGTGCCGAGCTCGACGCCATGTATTCTGACGCCGAGGTATCGGCCACGTGAACGTCACCTTGGATGCCCGGCTGTGCACGGCCAGGCACCTCAGAGACAAGATCTGTGGTGCCGAGACGTTTTACCTTGGCGTCATGAGTCCTGACGCCGACCCCAAGGGTCTAAAGATGAGTTCAAGTCGTCAGGGCCGAATGTAAATTTAAAAAAAAAACCAAATTATAAAAAATCAAGCAACAGCGCCGTGGAGGCCTTCCCTCCCTGCCCCCCGGGGCCCCCGGCCCCTGCCATCTGCATGTGTCCAAAACAGAGGCGCCAGCCCGCAGCGGCCAGCTTCCACCCCAGGTTTCCAGAACCTACAGGAATATCTTAACCCTGTGTGTCCATACCCTCCCAGCCTGACGGACCCGACCCGACCCCCAGTTGGGACGCGGCACCCCTAGGCGCGGAAGGGTCAGCGTCTTGCCGGGGCGCAAGTATCGTAGGGCAGCCCCCACACACCTCCCGACGTGTCCCGAAGCGGGCGCCCCCGTCCTCCACCTCGCTTCCCGCATGCCTCACACCTTCCCTCCACGTCCACCACGCGTCCGCCCATCACGCGATCCTGCACCCTTTCCCCAAAACCCCACCCGGTAGAGCGAACCCTCACTGACCGTGGGCCACCCCAAAATCGTGGGCCGCGGGGACTCCGCCTTCTGCCTTAACCCCGGTAAGCTAACCGCGGTCGGCTCGTGGCCCGAGGGTGCGACCCTGGTTAGCGGGCTGCTTTATAAGCGCGCAGCCCTTCGGCCTCGTCTCCCTCGTCCTCAACCCGCGCACTGCCCCCGGTCTCTCCACACACAGAGATAATCCCAGTCCACAAGATCTCCCGTAGACCAAAGAGGAGTCGAGGGAAGGAGGGAAACAGAGCCCGAACCTAGCCACCATGATGATGATGGGCGAAGGCTTGAGCGAGCCACCGTGGTCCCACCACGTCCCCGTGAGCGGCGTCGATGTCGGTGGCGTCGGCGACGAGATGACGCCGTACCTTCTCGCGGCGCTGCGCCAGTACCTGCCGTGCAACGACGCCGCCGGCGCCGAGGCGGAGGACGAGGAGGCGGCGGACGCGGCCGCCATGGCCGCGGGCGTGGACGGCTACGGCTGCGACGAGTTCCGCATGTACGAGTTCAAGGTCCGGCGGTGCGCCCGCGCGCGCAGCCACGACTGGACCGAGTGCCCCTTCGCGCACCCGGGGGAGAAGGCCCGGCGCCGCGACCCGCGCAAGTACCACTACTCCGGCACCGCCTGCCCGGACTTCCGCAAGGGCGGGTGCAAGCGCGGCGACAACTGCGACTTAGCGCACGGCGTCTTCGAGTGCTGGCTCCACCCGGCGCGCTACCGCACCCAGCCCTGCAAGGACGGCACTGGCTGCCGCCGCCGGGTCTGCTTCTTCGCGCACACCCCGGACCAGCTGCGCGTGCTCCCGACCACGCAGCACCAGCAGTCCAGCCCCCGGGGCGCCGCGTGCTCGCCGCTCGCCGAGTCCTACGACGGCTCCCCGCTGCGGCGCCAGGCGTTCGAGAGCTACCTCACCACCAAGAGCATCGTGTCCTCGTCGCCGACCAGCAGCCTCATGTCGTCGCCCAAGTCGCCGCCGTCGGAGTCCCCGCCATTGTCGCCGGACGGGGCCGCCGCGTTCCGCCGCGGGTCCTGGCCGGGCGTCGGGTCCCCCGTCAACGACGTGCTCGCCACTCTCCGCCAGCTCCGCCTCAGCAAGGCGAACTCGTCCCCGTCGAGCGGGTGGGGCGGCTACCCGGCGTGCGCGGTCGCGTACGGATCGCACACGGCGGGCGGGCCCTACAGCCTGCCCTCCACCCCGAGAGCCACGCCGACAACCCTCGCCACCGCCTCCGGCTACATGGCCAATCTGGAGCCGCTTGACGTCAGCTTCGGCGGCGACGAGGAGCCCGTGGAGAGGGTGGAGTCCGGGCGGGCCCTCCGCGCGAAGGTGTTCGAGCGGCTCAGCAGGGAAGGCGTTGTTTCCGGCGACGCCACTGCCGGAATCGGTGGCCCCGACGTCGGGTGGGTCTCCGACCTCATCAACTGAGGCGGCGGCCGGTCGTTCAATGGCAATGGGCATGGAGAAAGGTGGTGGTAAGCTGTAACAGAGAAGGATGGCATCAAAAAAAATGGTTCCGTGTGTTCCCTTTTGTTGCTTCCAGTTAATTCCGCTAATCCCCCTGTACATATCTATCGCGCTGTGTATATTCTCCGGTTGGTTGGTAGACGGAGGATGCTAGGTGGTTCCAAGGAGGGGTGGATTTGTTTTGGGGTTCTTGAGGTAGCTGAAAAAGAAGTGTAGATGTAGGCGGCGGCGGCGGCGGTTTGTCCTCTTCTGTGTATAGGGTGTTGGAGGAGGCGAAGCATGGGGGGTGGGCTGATGGTTGACGAAGAAGACGGCCGGATTTGCAGCCGGCACGGCGGCCGCTGCTTGGTATTTCTGTGATTCCGCAGCATGCATGCTAGTTTGATGATGTTTCAAGTTCATGGTTTGTGCATTAGGCATCGGCTAGTTTGCGATTGCAGCCTGCTTGTGGATTACTACCCCATTTTGTTGATGTAATCTGTTTATTAAGACCCAGCAAGCATTCCCTACAGCATATTTTGTACTTACATATCGTAGTAGTAGCTGCCGAAATCTCATTCACCCGCTATTGGAGGTGAATTTCCCATGTAATCTTTTGCTCAAGTAAATGGTTTAATGAAATCGATGTTTATTATATCGCCCTAATGATCAATGTGTTTTGTCGTCTTTAGTGGAGCCTCGTGCTTTTTTCCGTGTGCCATTGTGTTGTTTACTTGGGGCGGCCTCGGAATAGCGATATCGTGGGCGGGCGAGAATAATGAGAGTGAGACTGCGAGTGTGAATCTTGTGAACCGCCGAGTGACGCAGTGCTAGTCGAAACTTACGCGAGCGCGACCGGCGTCCGTCGGGTGCCGCTCCCGGCACGGGAGTCGCCAAAGGGTCTGTTCGCTGGCCGCTGCCGGTGCAGAAAAATACTGCTGCCGGTGCAGAAAAATACTGTTGGCCGGTTGATTTGGCCTGGCTGAAACCCAACAATCGAACACCAGACTGCAAGTCGTTTTCCGACTGCGGCGGAGGAAGAAAAAACGAGTGGCGTCGCACGGCCGCGGGTCTCCGTCGCTGTCGGGTCGCCGCTGCACATGCGCTGCCCGACGCTGCTGCTGCTGGTCCTTGGCGCACAGACAGACGCTCTCCACCCCTCGCCCTCGGGCCCTCCGAGAGCTCCGATCGCCATGGAACGAGTGGCTCGTCGCTAGTAAAAAGTTCGGAGGTGTCCACGCGTACGTGCTCGCTGCCTGAACCAGACCGCATATATTGTAGATTGCGATCGTGCAGTAGAGCGTCAGTGCGTGTACAGTTATACGGCGAGGGCGCGGCGCAGAGTTGTCGCCGTCGTCGGAGCCGGGGAATCGGTGGACCCGGCGATGGGGACGAAGCCGGGGGTGGTGATGGACGTGGCGTCGTCCAGATCTAACGCGGCAGCATTGGGCAAGGCCGAGGGGAGCAATAATGGTCAGCAACGAGCAGTCCGGACGGCCCGGCCTCCTGCTCGGCTGCTTGCTCCGATCGACGGGACGTCTGGATCGCGACGACTTTTCTCCCGTTCTCCGGCACGCACGCCGGCCGCACAGCGTGTCCGTCCACTGTGTTTGGTGGCGTGGCCATCTCCCCCGTCTCTAGCTTACGACGGTGCAGTACGCGTAGCGGGGGCTGAAAGGATTACTCCCTGTGTCTCGATTTATCGGTCGCTTTTGATTTTTATATCTACAAATTTGACTTGATTTATAAAAAATATATGTAACATTTATATCTCTAAATAAATTTATTTAAAAATTAGATTTAAAATTTTGTCTAATGTACCATAAATATTTATATCCTGTCAAAGTTTTTTTTCTCAGAAAACGAAAACTACATATATTTTGGGACACAGGGGAGTAGGACGGAGGCCTACCTAGGGTTGTGGAGCAGGGCAAGATGCATTCACCTGTTTACTTCATCGTATCAATCATGTTTATCATTTATAATATAATGTTTTTCTCTCATAATAAAATAATATAAATTAGTTTATAAGCCACGAAAACAATCAAACGATCAGGCTGATTGCTTGCAACCTGTTTGGTTCGTTGCAGTGCATCATCATGCATCTGCTGATTCGATCGATCTGCGTTGCCTGGCTGGAGTGGAGTAGGGTGTGTGGGGCTGAGACTGGGGCTCGCGATCTTTGCGCGGCGGTGGTGCGTCATGTGTGGAGCAGCCTGTCTGGTTCCACGAGACTGTTTTACCCTTTTCTAGCTTTACCTTCTCCTAGTTTCTAAGTAGGAGTATCTCTTTATAATTCCTTTTGAAAAATATACTCGTAGTGCTAGTCAATTCTCGCTTTCTAATGAGCCAATAAATCTTTAAATCACAAGCTTAAATCAATATATATAAATTATAGGTTTCTCATAAATATATTTTTATATTAAAATCTCTTTGTACATAGGTTATAAATGTTGATATTAGTCTGTACAAGTTTCATTAAACTTTTTAAAAATGTACGGGAGTGTTTGAAGTGTTCTTTTGGAGCCTTAGCGTTCACGAGCAGAACAACTGCAGTTTTCTTTCGTCTCTCTGAAATGTGCCATTAAGGTGCCTTGAGCAAACAACTACAGTGCACTTTCGTCAGCCATGTTCGTTTGAGCTTATCAGCTAGAATCAGCTGTACTTGTCAGTCGTAGGAACAGTATTTTTCTCTCACAACAAATTAGTCACGTGAATCAGCCGCAACAATAATAAGTCCCGCCGAACATCTAGTGCCATCTTTGCTGCATGCCTGCATCCATGGTCCTCCGATTTCGTGACCAGATGCAGACGCAGGCGCAGAGCAGCAGAGGATATCATCGATACCAGCAGCAGAGGCCCTACCCGTCCGGCTATTAACCCCCCCTGCACTCGTCAAGACGTTAATCACCTGTAATCTACGGCCCGTACAGGAAAAGGCGCAGCGAAGGCAACAGCGACTTGGTGGTGTGTGGATCGTCTCATCCGATCGATCATGGACGGATGAGAAAGCGACCGATGGAGAGGGCTGCCCGCGTACGTACTCTTACGCAGTTCGCATGCCATGAGTGTTTGGATCGATCGCTCTGGCCTCGACCAGGAACGTGCTTGCCGGGGCCTTTGCACCTCAGCCTCAGGTAAGCTGCACGGACGAGCAACCAAAATCTCACGTCTCCAGAGCCAGCAGCACCTTTTTGACTTGAGGCCGTGAACTGAGGCCCCGTTTAAATCCAATTTTTTTTTGTGTTTTGGGTACTGTAGCACTTCGTTTGTATTTTACAATTAGTGTCTAATTATAGACTAATTAGGTTTGAAAATTTCGTCTCACGATTTCTCACTCAACTGTGTAATTAGTTTTTTTTTTCGTCTACATTTAGTACTCCATACATATGTCGTAAGATTCGATACGACGGGTACTGCGTAAATTTTTTTAGATTTTGGGTGGAGCTGAACAGGCCCTGAACCGTCTGGCTTGCCCCTAGATATCCGACAAGCTAGAGCTGCACGCCCGGGACCGGGGTCACGATGGGCGCTGGGCGGGCAGGCAGGACCTCGTCTAGCGAGGCGAGGCGTGGACCGGCCTGAGTTACGGTGGTTATCCAGTATTATCCACCTGTACATGCATGAGCATCCGCTGATCCGCGAACGGCCACTTGCGCATTGCAGCGACACCGATAGAAAGCGCTGGTACGTTCTTAAATGGAGACGAACGGACAAACTGACGCCGACGCGCATCGCCCACTTGTGACGGAATCACGGAACGGGTTAGGCCGCCACGTTGGCGCGCGGAAATATCTCTTCGCTATGCGGGGTGGCGTGGCACGCGCTAGCGCTTGCGCCTGCCAATCGCTGGTGGGGCCGCCGTGCAGTGGACTGGAGGACGACAGGTGCATGCATGGCATGGCCCCTCGGCTCGACGTCGTCCAGGACAAAAAAAAAAAAAGGGGGGGGATGTCTGTGGGCGAGTGGGGTCAGAGGTGTACGAGCGGATAAGGCCCCGTTTAGATTAAAAATTTTCACTTAAAGTGTCCCATCAAATCTTGCGATACATGTATGAAGTACTAAATCTAGACGGAAAAAAAACTAATTACATAGTTGAGTGAGAAATCGTGAGACGAAACTTTCGAACCTAATTAGCCCATAATTAGACACTAATTATCAAATACAAACGGAAATGCTACAGTAGCCAAACAGTAGCCAAACCCAATTTTTTTTTTGAAAACTAAACGCGCCCTAAGTTGTGGCCTGGGCGCCTGGCCTTTAGCGGGCGAGAGAGCGCTGGACGCTGCTGGTGCATCTCCTGCTGCTGGGTGGTGCACTGGTGCGCCGCACCGGGTCACGTGGCCGTGGCTGCGTCCGGCGTCCGTAACGGACGGATGGTACAGGTACGGCCCGGTGCGGCTGGGTGCATGCATGCTGCGAGCGCAGTGCTGCGCGTGGATAACGAGTGAGGTGGGCAGGTGGCAGCAAGGCCAATGATCGGTGGAGTACTGTACGTGCCGGCGGGTCTGGTGTGCCTGCTGCCCTCCGGCTCCACCGTGATCAGGGGTCATCGGTCAGGGACATACGGCGGTCGGCGGAGGCAAGCAGCGTGGAGGGCTGGAGGGCCTAGCAGGGTGCAGGGCCGTGGCTCCTCCCAAGGTAATTGTTTTTTTCTTTTCATTATTAATTAGTGCTAATGTTGATGTTTCAGCTATTATTAAATACTAGTATAATATCCGAGCTAACACAACGGACTTATCTGGGAGACACATATAAAAACGACCAATATTTTTTTTTCATAGTTCAACTTTTACACAATATCTTTGAGCATGTACATAATATATAGGTAGTCTGCCCGTGCGTTGCTACGAGACAGCTAAACTTTTGTATTAAAAACACACGGATCGCATGATATACAATCACATATACAAAACATACTTTGATATACTTTGTGTTTTTTATGTCAATTGATTGGAGTAGTCGTTCAGACTGTTGCACCC